TTTCTTCTAAAATATTCACATTATATAATTTTAGTTATACTATCATTAAACATTTAAATGAAATATTGTTGCCTAGATTTTCAGAAATATCCCACAGGCTTATCTTTACATGACAGGAATTATGTACTGAAAGTGTATAATTTAATTTCTCCCTCATTTGCATAGGTATTTCACATTATAAACTATGTAAACTTTGGAAAAATAGATCTGAAAAAGAAAAAAAAATTCCAGGAATATATTTTTTGGCCCCAACAAAATTAAGCAGTATCACTTAAACAAGTATTTAACTAAAATTCAACAAAATCAAGGTAAAAAAATCACAGAGAATTTAACCTGTAAAAGTCTCTTACTATAATAATAACAATATTTGGTCCAATCATTTATATTTGCTTCTTTAAAGTGAATAAATCACTAAGGTAATTTAAACAAAAATAATGAATTTGGTTTTATGTCTAGCTGTTTACATGGCCTACACCAACTTTTTTAGATTTTATTTTGTCTTTCAGTAAATTATAGCCTATTTTTCATTTAGGAATATAATATCAATTGCACATGAAGTTTTAAAAGTAAATATTATGTTAAATATGATTCTTAGTTTGAATCAAAAATTGTTCCTGTTGGGTGAAACGCATTCACAAAAATGTCTTAAATGTAGAAATCCCATTATTAGGCTTGAAAACAACAATGTGGACACTTCATGTGAAAGGGTTCTGGCAGAGCTTTTCTAGATAACTCACCTTATTGTGGGAAATAGCACAGCAGCTGTTAACCCATATATCCAGGTGACGTCTTGAGAGCACATCCCCTGCTATTACCATGGAGACTTCATTTGCACTTGGTCCCTACTACATGCACATTTTTTGAGATACTAAAGTAATAAAATCCTCTTGTTCTTCCTAACAGCATAAGAGACATTACAGGTGATACCTGAAACTTTTTGTGCAGTTCCTAATGATAGTGTACATTTATCTGAGTATACTTTATTTATGGAAGAAATACAGAAGTGGGAGTTTTGTACTAAGTAGTGATTGACTGAAAGTTTGGGTGTATTTGTGGGCATGTTTTAAGGGTAGTAAAATGTAGCTCAGTTTTCCTTCAGGACAACTACAAGAAACTCCCTGTTATGAGAATCAGTTTTATGGGAATTTCTCGTGAGACATTTATTTGGTGATTATTAAGTAAAGAAGAAATCATATGGTTTGTTATTGAGACTAAATCATCACTTGGAGCATGACAAAAATAAGCAAAGTTTTCTAAAGTTTATATCTGTTATTGTTTACCTAGAATACAATAAATAATTATTGTGTTGATCTAAATTTATAAACAACTATGCTATTACAATATGACCAACACAAGAAAAATTTAATTGATTTGAAAGCAAAAATATTAATGATAAAAGAGGATTCTATAAATCATTGAATAAGCTGTTTAGTTTTATTTTTCAACTTTATCTATATTCATAAAAATAATGGCACACAACTTAAAAAATATAATTCTTTTCTAAAATAACAATATTAGGAATGATCAAAGTATCCAAATAGTACAAAACATATTAACAGGACAAATTCATGACTGAGCTTCTGTTGCTTAAAGTTGTCACACATTTTCCTCTGTCATATTCCTAAAACCTGTACTGATACTTTAGCAATTTGCTCTTCAAATAAGTAAGTTATGGCAAATTAATTTTTTTTCTATTGTTGTTAATATTGATATTAATTTGAATTATTGAATAATACTTTAGAAATGCTACAAAGTAAAATGTACCACGAGAAACATTTGCATATGCAATCAAACCAATTTAAAATTAAGTTCTATTTTAGTTCTAAAGGAAACCTGCTAATTACATGTGCAAAAGAAAATGCCTTCAGAAAGAAGTCCAGAGCACCTGACATGCAGCAAATGATGACTTTCTTAAGCTTAGCACTGAGAGCTTTGTCTCTAGTAACACAAAATGTATGCTTTAGTAAGCCCCTTGTCCCTCATGCTAGGATTGCTGAGAGCAAGCGAGCATACTGAGAAACACGCTGTACAAACAGAGCCACATGCCACCAAGATTGCTGCTATCTGACTTTTCAGAGTATTAGCATTTCCTTTGAGATATTATATGAGGAGGTCTTAAATTAAATACACAGGAAAATACGTTGAATTTAAAACAACACAGACTGCATTTTAAACAAAACACTTAGAAGGTTTACTTTACAAAGTTCTCAATTCCTTAAAGTTGATTAAATTTGTTAGTAAAAGTTTTAAACTTAAAAATAAAATACATTTAATGCTACTTTCCTTTGAATTTAAAAATATAGTCAATTCAGCTTTAGTTTATACTGTGTTTACAGATAGAACAGCCTATGCAAAAATCATTTAAGTAACTAAATTCTTTAATATTATTGTGATGTAAAATATCGGGCAGTAATTTGCTATTTGCTATTGTCAGTATGTTTAAATATAATGAAGTGCCAGCACAAAATGGAATGTAACTTAAAATATTCAACAAGAATATTTTTGTTGCTATTTACAGAAATTATCAAATAAATATTTTTATCTCAAGTTAAAGGAGTTTATATTAGTCAATGCCATGAAAGCGTATTTTACACTTCCCTTGTATAAAAATCAGTAGACCTCTTTACCTTTTAATCTTCGAAGTTACGGAATGTTAAATTGAAACTTTTCTATTTTTCAATGATCTTTGATAGTAGTATTTTACGGTATAATTTGATCTTAATTAATTTCTATGACGATTATTACAATGATTTCTTCTTCCAGATTAGAATTTTTAAGTAGCATATGATTATGTGCTTTTATATGCTTTTTAAGTTACTATTGAAAATGGCTTGGAAATTTACCTTTGCTTTTCCATACATAAATGCTTGTTTCTGATTTTTTTTCCTTTTTGCCCAAAGCATTGCTATCCTTATAAATTTCCCTTTTTATACTATTGCATTTTTATACACATATTTAAATAAAATTTAACAAGCTCTGAAAAGACCAAATTATGACTGTTTAATTTTAGCTTTTCATGTTAACTACATATGACTCTGTAACCAAAAGCAAAATCTTAATCAATGAAAGAAAGGAAACAGAAGCCATAAAGGAGAGTTACAGAAAATGACTTTCTATAAACATGGCCACCTACCAACCAGCTACTTTACCATTAGGAAAACTTCCACTTTACAATAACACAGATGAACAAATAAATGAACGACATACCTAGGTTGACAAAGCTCATGACCATGTCAGCATCATTCAGAAAGTTGGTATCATGTAGGCTGGCTAAAGGAGGACTTTGAGTAGTCAGAGGAGTCGTTCGAGACAACTGTATGCGGTGAACAAATTCATTGGGAGCGGGTGGGTATCCCTTTCTTGCCCCTCTGCTCTCTCCTGCCAGGGAGACTCTCACCAAGTATTCAGGCTCTTTGGAATTTTCTTCATTGGCCATTGCATTGTATAGATCCAGCATGTAGAGAGGTGCAGACGACGCTTGTTTTCCAGGTGAAAACGGTCTGGGTCTATGAGGCAAACCCAAAATAGAGAGAATTTCCCTCTGTATTTCCCGTCTTTCATGGTTCCGTAGTCTTCTATAAATAAAACTGGAATGAACATGATTGTCTCCCAAACCTCCCTCTGTATAACCCACTAGAACCCAGCAGCTCCAGAGGAAACCCACAATACCCCTAAGTAAAAATACAGTCAGATGCATTTTTGTCCAAAAGCAAAAGTTATTTTTTTAATTCTTCTTTTTCACTTAAAAGAAAAAAAAAATCCAAGTTCCTAGGAGGTACACTTTCCCAATAGTTGTAAAAAAAAAATTCACCTATTCTTCATGACACTGACATTTCTGAACACATCCTCACAAATTTTCCTGTCCTATTTTAAATATTTTGGAATGTATCAAGAATAGTTATTTCCAAGAAAACTGGCATTCAGATTTCTAATTATCCACAGTTGCTAAGAAATTTTGCTTCATTGATGTAGGAAAAGCCGGTTAAAATTATTTGATCAAATAACCTGTGCATTCCTAGGTGAATTTATGAGAATCAGGCCTTTTGTATTTGAATTAAGGAAAGCTGATCTTCTGATAAACTGTAGTTCCCAAGTTCTCTTCACTTGCTCTTGAGTCCTTCTCAGCCCTTGAGCTCCTTCCAAGAAAATCCTGAGGTCTGAATCACAGATCTATGCTGATCTGTACCTTGGTGTTGGAATTTTATTTGTCCGGCTGCCCGGTGATAACTTTAACATCTTTGTATCCTCAGTGTAAAACAAGACTCAAGGTTATACTCTTCAAGTGAATGTGTTTCCCTGAATTTACTTGAAATTCTTCCTGTAAGTCCATTCAATCTCTTCCTCCTTCTTACAGCTAATTCCACCTCCAGCAGGCACAAGTATACCAGCCCTCTTCAAGAGAGATCTAAAGAGAAATGTAAGCACAATGCTGCTGGGAAAGAAGACGCTTCTCATTGTAACTTGAAACTGGTAAAGCTAAAAAGAAGTTAACCCTTTTGCTACCAGAAATGCCTCCATTTTCACAATTTTATAACCATGCATATAACAAAGAACAGTGATATATGGGGCATACGAGTTCCAAGGAAAATAAAAGCCAGTTTCCAAATAGCAGACTGAAAAATTTGCCACCTTTTTATTTGACATGTTTTAGATCTTTTTAATGGCATGCAGTTAATACATTTCAATATTAGGTCTCCCGGTTGTAGCTAAGTTGACTTGGTACGTCTCAGTTCCATATATATGTTTACTAACTTTTGAAAACCATTAAAATTTACATTTTTAAAAATGAAAGGAGAAATTGAAAATGAGAGCAAATTTATTGTTTTTTAATGATAGCCAGATATTTTAAAATATAAAGTAGGCAGTTAATCAATATAGCAAATATATCTATCTGCCAAGAGATTAGTTGTAATTTTGGAATGGTGATTAAATAGTTTAGACTTAACTGTCTTTACTTATCAAATTTTAAGCAGAAATATATATATATATTTCTCTTATTAAATGAGTACAGTTGAAATAGAAAATTTAATATACACTATCATCATTCTTAAATTCTGTCTTTGCTGTTGAAATATAGACATACTTAAAAGTTAGATATTTTTATCATAAATTATACTTATAACTGATTTGTTTTAAGTCATGCAAATAAACACCAGTTGGACTGGAGATTGAATACTCTTCATGACTACATGCAGATTGAAGCTAAACTTTGACGGGTAGACCAGGGAAAGTGTGCACCTTCCTAAACTGCCATACCTAATCTGAGGAAATGAGCAAAGTATGTGTTTATCCTTAATGGTTAATGCCTTTAAAATTTGGAAGTCTGCAATGTTTCTGTGCTGCTATAATTTTCCTCTCTAGCACTCACTTAACCTTAGTGCACACAGTGCTTTCATTGTCTGAGACAGCATTCTGATACTAAGGTAAATTTATTGAGTACATTCTAGAACTGTTATGAAATTTTAATATTTTTTCTTTGCCTAGAGCTGCCTAGCTCGTTGTTTAATTTCTTTTAACATATTTCCTCTGAGTGAAAGGTAAAGTCATATTTTTTACCATATAGCATACCATAATAGCAGACTTAAATGCTGGCACTGAACATTTGCTGTAAAAGACACGTGACAAAGAAGAGCAATCAGGAGCATGGATTCGGACTGAAGAAATAGCTTTACAATAAGAAATGGTTTGCACTACTAAAATTCCAGGAACTGTTTACTTAACATCCAAACCAGTGATTTTTGGTCACCAGTACAGATTCAGACCAAATATTTTATGCATTACTTCAGATAAAGTGGGCTTTGGTTTTCCTCTGTGTTTTAAAATAGATTTTCAAAGTTATGAATTTGCTTCATGTTTCTGAAGGACAACAGAACTACACAATAAAAACTGTCTTGCTACAGGAAGAAACAATTTATATTACCTTCCATACGCACTGCTTCTTCCCTAAAATACTTTTGAAAAATAAAAACGAGACATGTCACAAATCTCAAAAATTTGTTTTCTAGAAACACGATTTACACTATCAATAGGTGTAAGTGTAATTTAATTGCTTACCCAGGCACATAGCCTTCCCTTGTACTGGAAATAAGTTCCTAGCACATTTGCTCAGATTTTAGTATCTTGTCTCTCCCTACCTTCCTTTTGAACTCAGACTAGATGCAGCAAACTCATTTTTCAAAAGGTCAATATGTGCAATAAGAGGGAGAAAATAAAGAAAAAGATCATCTAAGAACACACAGGAAATACTAGGTTCTAAGTTAAAAGGTAGACTCATTTTCAATTAAATGTAAATGTATTTTACCGCAGCCTAGATCTTACGTAGATTTGAAAGAGAAATTTGAAAGATAAAGTAATTTTTCAACTGAACAGTAGGAAGATTCCAGATTTTGGAATTTTGCTTCTATGAAGAATTGAGCGTACTGTATAATCACATGCAGAAAAGAAGAGGTGTAGTTAGGAGAAAGACCTGAGTCATCACAAGAACTATCATCAAAGATCATGAAGAAAAGACGCTTTCACAAACTCAACTCTGTCCCCTCTGTTTTGAAACAGAGTCAGGATTCTAAGAAACTTTTCTTTACTGTGGCTATTTTTTGAAGTTTAACTTGTCCTTGTTAAAATCTGACACTCTTGTCTCTCGATATATGAAGCAACTGTATCCAATCAACTGATTTCAATTTTTCCAGGTTTTCTAAAGAAACTTGCTCAACATATATTTGATTTGTAAATCTTTTTTTTAATTATTATTCTAGAAATGCTCTTTGGATTTCACTTAATTTTTCTCATAAAAACAAAGGGTCTGGAAGGAGTAAGGTAAAAAGGTGACAGGAAGACCCCTAGGAGGCCAGAGAAGCTTATAGCAAAGAGAGATCAGGCAAGGCCCCCCTTCTAAAAAGTAGATGGTGTATACACCACCCCGAAGTAAGGCAGAGCAGCACTGCAATACCATCAACACAGTAACCTTAAAAGTACTGGAACCCGGGGCAGCATACCTACCCTTTCAAAAAAATCTTGTTACTAGCTGTTAAAGGAAAACTAAGAAATGAATACTGAAGTCACTGAATTTTGAAAACTCTCATACTATTTTAATGAATTGTAACAGTATTGAGTGATTTTATATTAACAGAATTTTAATTTTCTCTCTCTCTCTTTTTTTTGTCTTTTTGAGACAGGGTCTCCCTGTAGCCCCAGGTGGCCTAGAATTCACTGGGTAGACCAGGCTGACTCTGAACTCAGAGATCCATTTGCCTCTGCCTCCCAAGTGCTGAGATTAAAGGCGTGTGTCACCATGCCCAGGATTTTTTAATATGCTCTGTATTGTACGTTTCTAAGATTGTTTCATGAGGGTAGGTATTATAACAATTATTTATTGAGAAAATAAAGCAACATTTAACCATTAAAAATTAGCCAGTATTAGTGAAATATCAGTCTATGGTTACATATGAGTGCTAGATTCCAACTAACTCATTTAATTATTCAGCTAAATCCAAATTTTGCCATATCCATCATCCATATAGACACATTTTAAACAATTAAGTTAATCAGTGAGAAGTTACATAGTCAGTCATGAAGGATCCTTTCTTTTACATAGCTCTTTATAATACTTTTTTAAATAGCTCTTTAAAAACTTACCATAACACCTCATTTGGATAATTAATTCATTTGGAAAATATGCATTGTATGATTCTCATTTAACTATTGAAAGCTATATGCTTTACTTGCAACCAATATATTAAAACAGGATTCTTTTCCTTACAGGTTTTATCATTGTTCATTATTGTCATTACCAGTTCAATTAATTTAATAGCACAAAATTATTACTTAAATGTAGCATTTAAACAAGATAGATTTCTGCTTTTTTGAAATGCCAGCCAGAATGCAAGCTGAATGAAAATAAGGACTGACTTGATTTTGTTCACTGTGTCAAGCAGTGCATAATAGAGGACCAACATTCCTTGGACTGATTTTTTTTTTTTTTAGAAGAAGCATTTCATTACAGCTTTAACATATTCAATGACAATTTCCAGAGCAAAGATACATCTCTTACAAAAGTGACTATAAAATTTTTAAGTTCACATTTGGATTAATACAGTTATACAATATTGAACTCAGTATAAACTCTGTAATACATAAAATAGAATGAGTTTTTAACCTTTAAAAAAGATCTCCATTTCATTTTAAAATATACTGTTTCTTACAGAAAGACTCATTGTTTTTGCTAATAACACTTAGATGTTGGGAGGCTTTGGGAGGGTACCATCTGGGAAGTGGGTATATAGATGAATAAGATTGTTTGGGATGTTCTGTGCGATATACATACAAAAAAATTAACAAATTTAAAAATGAGCTATATTTGAGGAAGAAGCATAAAAATTTACATCATGTTAAGTAGTAAAGGTGATAAACATTACCACTGAAGTCTACCTGATGACTTTATATCTATACACAGGTGCCAAGGATCTGAGCACAACTGACCATGACTAGTAATAATCAGATACATCCAGATTAGGGACTGATTTTTTTTTTAACAAAGGTGCACACTATTATAAGGGACATAATTTAGCACATTTTCTTTCTAGAAATAGTTACAAGGACTCATTAGCTTACAAGATGATGAAATATTCTATCTTTTAGTTGGTTCTCATAAACTATTAAGGGCTTCTTTCATTTTTAAAGAAGCTTGCTTCTGTCTTCATTGACCACAGTAATGAGTCTAATTTCAAAATTCTGTCAATGTTAGACAATTGCCATGACTCAGAAGGAAAAGAATTACGTAATGAGCTGCACTAAGATTCACAAATCCTTTGCTCTATCATTACAGAGAAGTCCTACTGAATTAAAACTGCTCCTGATAGATATGAGTACCTTCTGTTTTGATCAGCTAATACTTCGCTCCTTTGAAGGACAATGGTTTATTTTATGTGTGTGAAGGCTAATCTTTTTAACTTGATTAGATTTGGGGTCAATTAAGAGACATGTTTCTGGGTAAGTCTGTAAGGTATTTCCTGTAGGGTTGCTGAGGAGGAAGGCACTCCCTCAGAACAGTGGTGGCCAGCTATGAAGAAGTCTGAGGGAACACCAGGGATCTTTGCACCTGCTTGGCTAGTCTTCTAGTTTGTACATGCATCTACTCTGTTGCTTTTGCCACTGCTGCTGCCACTGTTACCATTCTTTGCTGACATCAGAACCCAGCTTCTTTGGCCTTTCAAACTGGACTGAAGACCAGCAACTCTCCAGGAATCTTCCAGGCCTTCGGTGCTATAGGGAGACTGTGGAGGGGTGGATATTCACAGACTGAGCAGCTACTGGGTTGTCAGCCTCTGCAGAGTGCAGGCAGCCACTGTTTAACTACCCAGCCCATATCAAGTCATCCCATCTAGTAAGTGCCCTCTTTTATGTTCAATCTACCTGCTCTG